TCCAGGAGTTCAGGTATGGATTTAAATCATTGTTGTGTGCATTGGGTCTCCCCCTTATTTCCCCAGAGGGTCAAAGGCATCAGGCAATCCCAGTGGGCCCTTTGGTCCAGGCTGCACCCCTTTAGCAGGTGCCTGATTTTACCTGAGAGTGCAGTGGTGCTGAGGGACCATCAGGAATGTGGGAATGCTGCCCTCCCTTCCTGTCCACGATGGATCCCAGGTGGCGAGGAGGAATTCAGGATGGAGACAATCCAAAATTACTGAATGCAGGAGCTGGAAGCCAGAATTCCCTTCTCCCAGGTGAGTGGTGAAACAAGTTAGGTTCTGGAGTGATATTTGTTCTTACTTTGTGCCTTTTGTCTGTGACTTTGCAATTAGGGTGTAACAGCAATATACGAGTGACTTGTTTGCTTATATATAAGGAAACAAATAGTTTCTCTTCAGTAGAAAAATTTTATACTGATTTTCACTGAATCAGCCAGTGCTGGGTCTTTTATTGGCCTTTTCACTATCTACAAATGTTTTACCAATTTCCATTGCAAGCCAAGGGCACTGCAGCCTTTCTTGGTTTTGTGGTTTGAGAGGGAACATTAGGACAAAACAGGTTCTACCTTGTGAATTTTTCCTCTTCCACAAAGTCCAGTCTGAAAAATGCATCTATGTAGGTTAGGAATATATTCAGAAGAGATTACAACAGTAGCTAAAATGTCAAGGTTTTTTAAAAAAGCCATTAAAATGGAATGTTTCTTTTTGTTTGGTTGGTTAGGGTTTTTTTTTACAAGAAGGAAATTCCTACTTTTGGTCATTATTTCATAAATAAAAACTAAACATAATCATGTCTCTACATTATTAGAATGCTCCAATATGGCTCTTTGCTTTGATTTTTTTGCCAGTTTACTGATCAATATTAGACAAGCAATATTGATAATTTTATATACACATATGTATAAAAATATGTATATATTTGCCATTCAGAGCTGGCAAATATACATACGGTGAATAAATTATTTCATAAATGTAGTCATGTTTATATTTGCAGAAGTAAGGAAGATGAGTAAGAAAAAGTAAAGAGTACATTCTGAAATTGAAATGATAATAAATTTTAGGCAGTTATACTGTAGTTACTCAAGCTGAAATCTAATGTTAGCATATGTACTATGTTTTATGTTTATTTTCAGCTTCCTAGTATGACTTTTGCCTTAACTAAGTGCAGTGCACAGTACAAATAAAATCTCAACTATAACTATCAAAATAAATGGGCATCTCGGGGGTATTATATCATCTTTGTCTGTTAAAAAGATTTTACATTCACCCTGTGCATGCTCTCTCACATATAAAAAGACCTATTTTTAGCACTTATATGACTTTGTTGGTAGCACTTTAATGTCAAAATTATGTGTACTACTTTTAATGCTAGACTAAAATGGATCTGCTTCCTATTGCAAATTAGGACAATGGTTTCCAGCAGCCCACACTCATCAGTGTTCAGGAGAGCTCCCTTCAGTACATGATCAGCAGTGAAATTGCAGGGACGTGCAGATAAATTTGAATAAACCCATTTCTATGAAGGCATAAAGAAGAAACAATGAGGAGTTCAAATGTCAGAGCTCCCTGATTAATTTTTAATGATTTCCAATTCTTGCTGAGGTTCCCAGTATCAACATTTTAGTCAGTTATTTGCCCAGCAGTCATCCTATCCATATTTGATATGGGATAATTAGCAACTGGCTTAGAGAAGTGCAGCCCTTCCTACCATCTGCACGATCAATATTAGAAAGTGTTCTAGTTCCTAGGGATAGTCATGTGTTTTCTGAACAGCTCTTGATTTATTCAAAGAGATGTAATGATCATGAGGAGTGTTAAAGCTGCAGCCTTCTGTTGACAGTGGCTGTGTTTGGGCTCATTAGGTGTGATCCCAGCATCTGCCCAGGGGGGTGGAGGATGGAGGCCACCTGCTCATCCTGTGTGAGTTCAGAAAATCAGCACTTGCTAAAGACCCATCGGGTGAGCACATCAAACCATGCCAGTGGTAAAAATGAAAGTGTTTCCAGTTCCTCATCAGCCTTCCAGTTCCACCTTCTATTGCCATTTATTGCATTAGAACTTTCTGTAATCCTTTCCAAGAGTAACAGGCCTGTGTCCTTGCAAGCTGGCAGTTTGCTGTCTGTCACTCAGAAAGCCTGAGGTGGCAGTGCTGGTTTCACTGGGGTGATGGCTGGAGAAAGCACCAGCTGGGAAGGATCAAGCTTGTAGATGGTTTGTTAACACTGAGAAACAAGGGCATTCACCAGCATGGCTCCCCAGTTGCAACAGGTGACATATTAACATGAATTTGCAATAAATACCAAAAAAAATAACCCCATTTTTGCTGGTCGCTAACATATGAAATGAGGCCTCGTTCCTTCTTTCCCTTAAAATAACCAATAGGGCCTGAACTCCTCTGTACAGAGCAACTTACAGCATATTTTATTAGCCAAGAGAATGGTCGATTTAAAAACAAAAACTATTTCTTTCTTTCATGTCTTCGTTTCCTTCCCTTTTCCTTTCTTCTATGGGAGTTTATATTATGATGAGTAAAAACAGAGAGAGAAATGGTATTAAAGCTATGTCAGCTGCAGCTAAACAAGTACCTTTATCAAAAAGACCATTCCTGAAATCTTAAAGGGGTGTTCTTTTTCACAGTGCAATTCTAGCAAAGTACTAGAAAACTCTCCTGCTATTAAATTAGTATGTCCATTGATCATGCATGCATTCCAAATGGGAATTTATGCTGTGTTAGACAATAATGCACTTATATGATTTTCAGCTTAATAGAAACAATGATCTTAATAAGCATATTAAATTGGGAGGCACTATCTGATGATGTATGTTTTATTTCGCTGCTAACAAACTGAATTACATGCTAAAGCTTTGCAGTCAAATTGAAACCTAGTCAGTTCATAAAAATGATTTAACAGCAGGTTCCTGTAGCACACTATTCCTGCATCCTTAGCTGCTGTGGTTTTTAAATCCATTTTTTCTCATCTCATTTAATATAAACATTTTACCCTCTTTTGGGCATCACGAAAAGTGGAAAGGGGTACGAGTGTGTAGGTGAGATGGTGCAACCTGACACATGTGGTGACATGAAAGCTGACAGGGTTAGAGTCAGCAGGAAACACTAGTGAGTGGAAATTCTCACAGAAAATACAGCAACATACACAATAAAAACAGGCAATAGCGTTGTTACTGCTGTGCATCTCACAAACTGAACAAATTAAGGATTTTCAGAGGAAAGTCAATGCTTTTGAAAGAGATGGATAATTTTTGATTATTTAAAAAGAAGTGCTTTATTATCATTTAAAATTTATTGAAGCAAGTGGTATCATTTTTCAGAGAAGCTTCTGAAAAAAAAGTGTTGCTTTTTAATTTTTATTTATTTTTTTTCTGAGAGGATTCTCTGTGGCTGTATTGCATGATTTTACCTTGTGCTTAGTCACTGTACTCTGTGATTCCTGCTCTACCTTTCTTATTCTTGGCAAACTATAATCTTGGAAGCCAGCTCCGTGATTTCGATATGCATATAATTTTACGTAGTTGATGAATCCAGCAGGCAATAGTAAACAGCAGGGAGGGGCTCAATGGAAACTCATTTGTTAGTTTTCCCACTTGGAGGCTGTTATTTTTATAAATTACTTATATTGGACACTGTGGGAGTGCCCTTTTTCATATATGCTGAAGTACTTCACTGGCCCCAGGAGTCACTAAGACTAGTGGATTTTAATAGTTATAGATCTTAAATGGAGGGTTAGAAATTGTTTCTTTTCATTACAATTACAACAAGGAATTAACCCCAAGGGTATCCACTTAATTTCATAATATATAGACTGGAACGCTAATAATGTGTCTCTCCTAAAATGTAATAAAGAAGCAACTGCCCCTTGGCTCCCTGGGGTAGATTTTTGTAAAACGTATGGCGAAAACGTAACACAAAGAAGATTTTCCCTTAACAAGCTTTGTAATGTCCCCAGCCCCAGCGCTCAGAGCGCTCTGGAGCTCGGGCACATCCCGTGCTGGCACTGGAATTCAGCCCCAGCACTTTGGGGTGGCCTCGCTGTACAAGGGAAACTAAACCAGCCCCGGGAGCGGAGGGTGATTTACAATTAAGCCCATGAAGAAGTGGAAGAGTGCAGGGAGGCAGAGGGAGTACAGTAGCACAGAGTAATTACTTCCTGCAGGCTCTGCTCAGCCCTGTCCTCTGGCCGAGTTTCCTGAGTTGTTTTAATCTTCCTGCCCTGCTGAAAACAAACCTTGGCCCCGCAGTTGGCAGGCAGTGAACTCCGGGACACTGGCTGTTGTGTTTGCTCTTGTGAGCAGCAAAGCAGCTCTGACCTCCCAGTCATTGTGATTGGTGACTGTGGAACAAATTCCTGGCCAAGATCTCAAACGCTGGATCAGGCTGTGGGTTTAAATCCAGGTTAAACACATTTCTGTTTGTTGATGGTTTTAATGGGGCCTGACTAGATAGAGTATCCTGGGAAAGCTTGAGAGTAAAGGCAGCAAGAAAAGTACTACACTGGCTGTGCCTGTTTTATCCTGAAAGAAAAAAATCAGTTATAGAAGAATTGTTTTGGTTTGATTTTTAATTGTAATGCTTATAGACGTTTCTAAGATTGTTGTTTCTTAAGGAAAATTCATCAGGAAAGAAATAATTGGCCAATTTTTTTTTCTTTAATTATGCATGATATGCTCAGAATTCTGTGTGCCTATTTATATTGCAGATATTCTGTTTGTGGCTGCAAATTTAAATAACTGCCCTGACTAACCAGGGGTATATGCAAAATACTCAACTGATATGTTTGTACCCACCCTCTAAAATTCTTTATCTGTTTAAGAAACCAAATAAGCAAACTGAAAGAGCTGGCCTCTGACACTTTCACCTCAGTGAAATGCAGTGGGTTGCTTTCTTCTGTGGTGCCTCAAGACTTCCCTCACTTTTTGTCGTCTTTTCTTTTTCCATTCCAGTTTTCCATGGATAGTCACTTCAAATTTCTGACTGATAGATCCATCTTTAAAGAAAAAATTGAAATCCCAAAGCAAACTGGAAGAAAATCTAAATTCGTAAGTCTTTCCAGCTGGTTTCTGGTAATTTTATTTTAGTGGTATTTAATTTGGCATTTCTGGGCCTTTTTTTCCCTTTATTGGCGTTATAGTAAAATGGGGGGAAATATTTACATATAACAGAATTTACATTTTAACAACTTTCATCACCTTCTCCATGCTGTGATGTTAATGTTCTCAAATGTGTCCTGAAACCAGGCCACTCAATGGGAACAACAGCGAGAGTAAAACTGTCAGGGAAGAACAGGAGGGGCAGAATAGAAGTTCAGCATTTAACTGAGTTAGAAGCTGAAGGCTGAAAGGGCCTCTGAAGAGAAAAGTTTCAGGATTAAAGGAAATTCTCCCAGTAATTACTCATGTGACTGAGTAATAATTGCAGTTGAAATATATGAGTGACTTCAGCAATCAGCATTATGATCATGGAGCATAATCTCGATTCTGATCATGGACAAATTAAAAATAAAATGCTAGGGATCTCTTCAAGAACTATTAATAATAGAGTTGTTTCACTAGGTGAAGTCAAATTAAGGCTGTATTTGTGAGGAGGAAAGCTCTCATGCTAAGTTTCTTCCATTTCTTCTATCCATTCACAAGTGATACAAGAGCCAGTCATTTCAAGGGAAATCTGTGTTACAGCAAGATAAAAAATGTGATGTACTTCACAAACAGTGTTATCTCCTTCAGACAGATAAAAATATAGATACTGTAGGTCAGGTGCTGATTCGTTTCACAGAAATTACATGCTGTAAATCACTCCTGCTGTATTGCTGTGTATCTACTCATTGTGCCCAGCTTCTGCATCCCTAGAATATATTAATTAGTAAAGTAAAAAATATGTGGTAAAACCTATTATAAAAAATGGAGGTACCCTACTTGGGAACTAGAAGCAAAAATCTGAAGCACTTTTCCCCCAGTTATTGTAATTTTTGCCCTTTTTGTACTGCCTCCGTCTGATAGATCAATATGTGCTTTGTCTCCCAGTATGGGGGATTTCTGTGAGAGGCACCAGATGTCCTGTAGCCTTTATTCTAAAATCCCCGTTCATTTTAAATAAAATATGGATGCCTACCCTTAATTACAGCATGGCAATATGTTACTTGTCCCTTTCATAGGCTTTTGGAGAGGTGTCAAAAATACATTTCATCCTAAGTACTAAGGTCATATTTACGTAAAGAATTGTTTTGGGAAGCAGAATAGAAAGCGCTTTTGTTTTGGTGTTTTTTTTAAGAATGATACCAAGTGTGCACAGCCCAAATTGTGCTGGATCTGTGTGTGCTGTGGGGATGTGACAGCCACAGGCTCCTGCCTGCAGGAACACCCACAGACAGCCCATGAAGAGCAAAACTGATTTGGACACGTAAGAAAGGCAAGGGAAGGGAAGAATGTTTAGAATACTGGATTCATGTGATGTAGGTCTTGAAAATGCCTCCTCGTAAACTTCCATAGGGACCCCATGTCAAAGTAATAGAATAAAAGGCCATGATGTTTGCAGTCAGCTTGGGGGTAAAGCTCAGTGCCTTGCTGGAGGTGTGATACAGGGGCTGAAAGGCTGGGGGTATAAAAACATCAAAATATCTGAGCCTTAAATGAATTTCTGGATAGGAGAAAAGTAATAGGATTCTTGATTATTTGCCCCAAAAGAATTACACTTATGTAGCAGTTGGAATAGTGAAAGGAGACCTCAAGTTGTCATCATCAGAAAACATAAACCTTCTGCTAGAAAATGCCTCCAAAGCAGTGGAAAGCAGTGGGTGAACTGGGCAGAGCTCAGCAGCACATGCAGAGAACCCCAACACTGGCAGACTGACTCTGTCTGCTGTACAAACCTGCCTGGATCCTGCACTCCAGGGGCAGAACCATGGGAGGGTTTGCACAGGGCGAATTCCACAGAGCCTTCCACCATGTGGTGTTCAGGGAGTCCTGGATTAAAAGCAGCTGGGATTCCTGGTTAGAAATGACGTGGAACCAAAAGAATCCAGTGCCCCATGTAGCCAATCCTGTGGCTGCACCAGGACACTGTTGGTGTGGAAGAGCATGGGCTGAGAATGGGAGCAGCTTGGGAGAAGTGAGGGAAATATTTCTTTTATTGAAATGGGGCAAGCACTCTTACTCATTTCTGGCCATTTTGAGATGTGTTATATTCTTTTATTAAATCGTACTCCTTTTATTAAGAAAATCCAAGTGGGTTCTTCTTGCTTTCACAATACCTGTATAATACACTGAAGTTCATTGGAGAAAAAGAAAATCATTCTGCTTTCATCCTAAAGCGCACCTGATTGAGAGTTGTAAATATACTACACTCTCATATGCAAAGCTGCAAAGCAAGGTTTGTGCCATTTTTCTCAGACAGGCCATTTGAAGTTATATTAATGTCTTTGGGGAGATATAACTGTCCGGAAGAACGAAGGTACACTGAGGTCTGGGATGTAAGTGGGTAGAAAATTCATTCTGATTTAAGCAACTTAATTATTGCTTGGGTTTAGTTGAACCAGTAAAGGTTGTGCAGATCATTCATTTTTATTATTAGGAGAGAAATGGTCTGATCACAGCCAAGACATTTTTCATGGTCTTTCTTATTTACCTTGAGCAAAGACTGATGAATAGCAGCAGAGACAGCTGTGCTTGGAGCCAGAGATTGCAGCTCTCAACCTCACCGTTTTGTGGTACAAAAGCACAGCTTACTGCTTGAAATTTCCAGCCATGCTGCTTCTCTGCACTGTGTCTGTTGTAATGCATAGTTTTCTGCACCAAATAAACCCTTTAACTTGAAGAAATTCACCACAGGAAGTGGTAATGCCATGTCTGTTTAAACTGCATATAATCCCTTTCCATATGAACATTAAGGTACCAGCTGAAAGACTTGCAGAACACCTGGTGTCCATATTGTTTCCTTTGTTGTTGTTCAAGACCCTAGAGAAACCGTAAGTAGGTGTAGCTAAACTAATGTCAGTAATAATCCTATGTCTCGAGTTACTGGGGAGCAGAGAAGAATTGGAACACTTAAAAGCTGCAGAACTGTTGTGAACAGTGTTTGTGAAAGACAGTGAAGTAGCAGCACGATCCTGCTGTTGGGTGGGTTTTCACAGCCACAGAGTCAGGTGATACAGGAAATTCCTGTGCCACTGAAGCTGCCTGGAGTGACCTGTGTGTGTTGTCATGTCTGGGAAACGCTGGGATCCCAAACCCCTTCTCAGCACAGTGGAATGGGGGCTGACACCGTGGTGTTTGTGTAGCCAGAGCAGTCAGCCAGCATGTGTCAGACTGGGTACACTCCTCTCCTCATCCTCTCTGGAGCTGGGCCCTCCTCTTGCCTCTGAAACAGTGTGCCAGCCACCAGCACGGGTACAGATGGCACTGCGGGCAGTTTGCAAGTGGCAAAGGTGTTGCTCTTTGTTTTATTTTTAATTATTAAATGTTTTTCAAAACAAAACATTTTCAACAAGAGTTAAGTAACTGTTTTCCTCCCCCTTCTGGCTTTTTAAATAGGGGGGTGGGAGGTTGGACATGTGAGCCTAAGTCCCTTCAAGGCAGAGAATTGTATCCAGGTTTTACATGTGATGGATGAGCACTCCTGGTCTGTGAGAAGGCTAACCTATTGCTTGTATTTATTAGACAGGTCTAGAAGATAAGAAGATCAAGCAGTTGCCTAATTTGTGGATCCAGACTGGACTTTGGTGGGGATTTGGCACCTATTTCATACGCAGGTACTGGATGTGTGATGCGTGAGCAAATTGCTGAGTACAAAGAAGTGACATCAGTGTGTCAGCTGAGTCTGTTCTGTGCTGTCCATGCAAGCAACCTTAGCCATTTCTGAGTGCTGCAGGAGGTGGTGTTGATTAATGCTGATTTATGTTCAAAAATGTTCAAAGTCAAGAAAGCATATCCAAAATCTTAAAGTCATGCATGAGATGATCCTTGTGGGTCCCTTCCAACTGAGAATATTCTGTGATTCTTCCAAGTTTCTTCTTTGGCTGTTCTGGACTTTGAAGCATTAAAGAAAGACACTTTCTAGTGGAAAAATTGAGTGTGTGTGTGAACCAAGTGCTTCCAGGGCTGCAGAGCTGTTGGGTTGGGCAGGTGGGTTGCAGTTTTGCACGAGGGGTCTGTGGGAGCTGAGCAGTCATGGCTGCTCTGTCAGGAATTCATAATCCTAGAGCTGTGGTAATGAACCTTTTCTGCTTCCAATGACTGAACTCCCCAACATCCTCTCCTGCAACACTTAATATAGAAGCACTTGAATATTTCTTTATGTAGTTCTGGATATCTGCCTTTTATTAATTTCCCTCTGGAAACTTTCTTTGAAGTTTAGGCATTTGAATACCTTAAATTACCTGACTGTCAATGAATCAAACCCAGATGTAACAGAAGGTACACAGGAGGCATGTTTATGGCAAACAAACCAATATTTCCATTGTGTATGATCAGGAGACCAACATCATAACATGTTGACTGTGACACTAAATGTGCCACCCAACCTCTTTGTGTCTGTGTTCAGTAGTCTGCAAAGTTATGATGATGATACCCATTATACACAACAGCATGGAGAATTAATTCATTAATGTTTCAAAAGAACTGGGAGATCCTCTAGCAGAAGGTAGTACACAATTGCTGTGTGCTAATTTGTTGTTCTCTATTATCAGATTCAATAGGAAGTTGTATAAATCTTTAAAAAAGCAAACAAAGAGCTAATCAGGAGTCACTTCTTCTCACTGTCAAAGCTGGTAATGACCAAATAGTCTTGTTGTGGAAGTACAAAAAAAAAAAAAGTAATCCATGCTACTTGGGATGTTGAAGCAGCAATTAGTACTCATTGTAGGGAAGAGAAGTGGAGCTAGACCAGAAATGAGCCTTGATGAGCCTAATTGCCTTTAATTATCCCTAAACATTTTCTTGTTGTCTGTCTCATGAAGACAGAAGAAACCCTGTAGTTCTAAAAGGAAATAAGGCTCGGTTTTGTTTTCATCTTTTAAAGAGGGACATAATAGCCACCATGGAAACATGTTCTTAATCAACCACATTAAGCTCCTGGCTGCTCTGCTTCTCTGGAAACTGCCTCGTTCATTATTATCAGGGGAAGGGGGAAGGGAAGGGGTTTAATCACTATTTAGCTTTTCTTAGCAAATTAAAGTATTAATTACGATGCACATTATTTTATCTTTGCTTAAGCTATTTGTAAGTATTGGTGAATAAGAGCTCATTTCATGTTGGAGTAATTTATTCTCAAACTATTCAGACTTACTTTTTCAATTCCTTTTAAAAAATCATTGGGTCATGACATGCTGTCTTCCAAGAGCTGAGAAAAAACTGAGAAGTGATTACTGCAGTGCATTCAAATGCCATGGGAAGGTGAGCAATGGAAGGCCAGACACCTCCAGACCAATGGACAGGTATTTCTCTTTTGTTCCTATTTATATGATGGAATGCCATAATCAGCCTGTTGTTGTTTTTTAGTTTTCAGTATAATGGAAAAGAGGAGACTTTTTGTAAAATAAACTCTCATGGGAAACCCATGGCCTCTGAAAATCTACACCTCTCAAAGCTTAAGTAATATTAATGATGTTAGTTTGGTTGATGGAATACAGAAATATGGAGGGATTAGAAAAGCAATTTATAAAATGAGCCTGATCAGCACTATTATGCATCTTCTGTGAACATCAGATTCCTTTTCTTGGTATGCCCATGCCACTTTACATTTCTCACTGTGAACTTTCTGCTGTTACTTTACATAAGGGAAGAAAAGTTGCACAAAGGGAAAACAATCAATGATGTCTCTGCATCAAATTGTGGCTCAGTAAACTTTTTTTTAAATTAAAATGTGTGCTGGCATAAATCAGTATAGTTCTATTAGCTCTATTGGAGCTAGGTTGATTTATACCAACTGCAGAAAGAAATAAATTCATGTATTCAAGTAGTTTGTGTAGAATTGCATGGAAGGCTGTAGGAAACACAGCACTGTGCCAGAGATGTAGTTTTACACACATTGCTGCCAGTGCTGTAGGTCACTGAGTAATAGAGAGAGAAAACCAGAGGTATGTTGCTATTTTTCACTAAATGGTTGCCTGTGGCTTCTCACTTTCTTATGATAGTCTTGCAAAGTTTGTGGCTAATGTTGGAAAAGGCAGGGCATGACTGTATGTAGCTGTGAGAGCATTTAGGTTCCATTGTGAGAGCCCTCCTGGTTGTTGGATGTCCATCTGTGTTCTGAACATTTGAAGGTGTTAAGCTGAAAAGATATGTAGACTGATTTTAATTGAATCAAATTACTAAAATTAAATCTACTGATAAACAGAAGAGAAAAGCCAATATGAATCTGGCCTTGAAAGAAAATAATTTTGTCTTTTTTTTTTTTTTAACAGTCAAGTTAGCAGTTCAGAAAAAAAAAGTTAAGTGAAATTTGCCAGCAGCAACTTCCAGTTCAGTTCAGTTCAGTTCTAGACCTGACCTCTTTTACCATCATGATCTCTTCCTTTCACCTTAAAAAACAAATACTTTAAAAGCTCAGGGTATGTGTGCAGAAAGGGTCAACCAAGCCAAACACTATTTTTAATTGTAGCCATGGGATATGCATCTCAGGAGACGTGCCACGAAGTCAACGGATTTTCTTTTCTTAATTGCAGAAGCCTTGTACAGGCTCACTCCTGGACATTCCTGCTGCCCTGCATTATTGATGTGGTCTGGCTCACTGCTCTTTATTTATTTTGTATGACACCTCATTCTCCTGCCCCAGTGCCATGTTTGCTGAGTTGTTCTCTTTGTTGTTGCTGTTGTTCTTATGATAGAAGGAGAGCTGAGAAAAATACCTTGTGAAGCCTGGCTACAGCACGTCTTCTGACAGCACAGCCCAAACGTCTGACCACTCCTCATTCCTTCTCTCCTACCTGAGCACAGATCAAAACAGCATTTGGTTATTTCTGCAGGCCTGTATCTCCCCAAATTCAATTTTGGTTTTTTTTTTTGTATGTGGCTGCTTTTGGCCTACACGTGAGAGAAAGATTTTTTTCCCAGCACCCAGATGACTGCAGTGCCATCCTTTTCTTGCAGCTTTCTAATAACTTGTGACCCAGGGTCTTTAGTCCAAGGAAGTGATTTTTTGGAGTGCTGGAATGCTAAATGTTTCCCATCTTGGAGGCTTTGAGGGTTTGGACCATCCTGTAGGACCATTAAATCACTTTCTGAGTTATTTTCTCCTCCCGTGTTCAAATTAATTTTCTTTATTGCACACAACTAGGAAATTTTCACAAAATTTCCACCCTGCCAAACTGTTCAGTTTAATTTTCATTTTCCATGGAGCATATCTCCTAACAGCAGTAGCATGTGGGCTTGATCTGAGCAATGCACTTTGCCATACTTGGGTTGTCACTTTAAAGAGTTCATTGTGCTACAGCTCCTCCCAAACCAGATGCTCTCTATCACAGTTGCCTTTCCCCAGCATTCAGGATGTATGGCTTTGTACAGAGATTTACACAAGTGGTTTAAGCACATGCAGCTTCTGCTATTGCCTTCACAATTCCCTCCCCCACTAGGCTTCCTGGAGTAACTAATGTAAATTCCTGGCTGAACTAAGAAATTAAATCCTTAATAGTAAAATATCTATATTATCTGCTCGAGGATGATGAATTGGTGGGTTTGTGGAGGATTATGTATGTCTTACCCACAGATGTTTGACCTTTCTTTAGACATGTGTTACTTATGTGCTTGGTGAGAATGGGGTTGGCTTTCCAGACAGGGGTTGGATCAGGCCTTTTGAAGGCTTTGTTTGTGCTTCTCTGTGGCAGAATCAGTGCAAGAGAGCAAATGGTTGCTGCTATTTGCCTCTTTACCTGTGTCAGCACAATTCACTACAAGCTGAGAGGAACTAGGAGTTAGAAGGCTTTTGGGGGGCAGAGGGGAGAGAAGTTAATGGGAACCATATTAGTACAGCTGCTCGATGTGTAACTTTTTATTAGCTCTGTGATCTTTGCTTGCTGTATACGAGGCAGCAGTTGAATGGAGAGTTTAGTCCTGAATTCAGGTGTAGCTGCTGGGATGTCACAGAGCTCGGTTTGGATCTGGAGACAGAAGCAGCTGTTTTCACAATGGCAAAATCCTGCATCAGTGACTCACTGGTCCCATTGATTTCACAGCCTGTGCAGAGGCTCCTTATTAGCTCCTCTTATTCTCAAAGGTACAACTCTGCCTTCCTGAGGATATGGACTTTGAAGAGCAGAAGGGCTATTCAGGGCAGGGGAGACTGGGTTTCCCAGCTCCTGGTAAGCTCAAAGAGAGCCTGGGCTAGGATCCAGTAGCCTGTTCTAGAAATGCTAAAATGTGATGAAAGCAGCAGCTTCTGCTGAGTTCCTGATGATCCTCTTGGTGTAGATATTTTTATTTTATTTTTACATGACAATGAGGGTTACACTCAAAATCTTTGAGTTTCTCATATGAATGATTTAAAGTATGTGTGACTTACTTTGAGCCCAGGAAACCTAGGAAGAGGTGACGAGGTCTTCCAGACCTAAGTGGTCATTTATGCTGCCATCAACACTTTACTACATCCTTCTGTGACAGTTATTTCACTAGATTGGATTTCTATTGCTTAAAAAATTGCTCTGAAGGTAAAGCAGCCTCCTTAGGCTGACTGTGCGAAGTCGACCACAGTGGAGTCTGGTGCTGACCTCTAAATTTGATCAGCAGCAAACCCTTGACCTTTGTGCCATTTCATAATCACACAAATATAATTGTGTTGCAGAGTGATGCTGTACAAAGTTAACTGAGACAGTGCTAGTGGCAGGAATGGCACAGTGTCTGTGGTGTGGGCCTTTGCCAGGCAGTTCTGCTCCTCAGCAGAGTTGCTGAGTCCATCTGAGTGCCCAGTGGTGTGACTGTGCAGCTCCCAGCAATTAGGTGTTTAATTCAGAGGCAGCTATTATTCATGGAAATGCAGGATATACTTGTCCTGGGAACCTCCTCCTCATGTGGTGCAGTTATGTTGATCATCTGAGCTCCTTCGAGTCTGCAACCAAGTGAACCTGTGATGGTGCTCCCTAAGAGTAAGTATGGAGAATGGAAAATCTAGGATACAAAAGGTTAAATTGAGACTGTCAAAGGAAGCCTGATCCAAACCAAAGCTGTGGTATATGAGTGAATATTTTCCACTAAGATAACTTTTCAAAGTTTTAATTTGTGTTTTCAGTGCTACCAACCATGGAAGCTTCTGTTTCAGGCAGGATGAAATTGGGAACAGCAACAAACACTCATCCAAACAGCAGCTCAGTGGTGAAAGCAGAAGCCTTGACTCTGGAGACTATTGAGCTGGTATCCTAAAGTGAAATTGCTGATAAACCACCATATTAATTAGAAATGTCCTCGTTTCTGCTCTTTGCTGTAATTTCTTCCTTCACTTTCTTCATTGCTCAGCAGCAAGCTTGTATTTTATGTGCAGAGCACATGTTAGTCCTGTGTCAGCAGCCTGTATGTGGTTTATGTACCACTGAATTTCACTTAATTGTGTTGAACTACAGGCAACTTGAAAGCTGCCTACACTTGTATCCACTGTGAGCATGGGATGAGCATCACCTCAGGCACTGCTGGGTGGCCTCTTGTGGCTCAGAATTAGTGTTCCACTGTTATGAAACGGATTCTCACACGGGGGCATTTTTGGCTGCAAACTGGTCGGTTGGAAACTCATGGATGTTGGAATTGAAAGTTACCTTCTGCTGTTGTAATAGATTTACTTTCTCCCTGGGGAAAAAAAAAAAGGAAAAAAAATAGGTAAATCCCAAAGTCTTGTATACATACAGTGGGCATAGGTACCTCTGATAATCCATCAGAACTCAGTAAAAGATAAACCAGATGTATTTTGATATATTTCTGAAAGTGTCATATAAAACACAGACAACGTATCACAGAATGATTGTAGCATAAATAGACACATTCCTTCAGAACAGGAGCATCCCTATTGGAAAATCTTCCTGAAGGTTTAAGTCCAGCCTCCTGTCTCCTCAATGGCCATGATTTTTTAGTTCCTACCACCTGTGAAGTTGACAGATCTGCTTTTATCTGGCTGCAATGTTATTTGGAAAAAAGGAATCCTCAATTGCAGCTGAAGGTAAATTTATTTCTAGCATTTGACACAGGTTCAAGAAGTCCAGTGGCAATGCAATGTTGAGTACAGTCCAACACTTTCTCTTACAGTTGTCTTTGACATTTCAGGCCTTTGTTTTGTTTTATTTTAAATAACCTTCGTAACTATGCTTTCAAGGTAGGTTTTCATCTTCTTCACCTATTTGACACTGTCAGCAATGAATGCCAAGTAATCAATACTTCTGACCTAGGATTTATTTTGCAGCCCGAGATTGGTGTTAAAAATTTTCCCACACTGTAATGGATAAAATTCAGATAGAAGAGA